CTTGCTGCTGGGTAGTGGGGTGGCTAGCACCTGTATGCATTTCATCTGCCTTGTGATTGGCTGAGCTGTGGTTGAGATGAATCAGTTCTTTCTCCCGTGTTAGAAGGCCCATATTCAATAACAGTCCTAGAAAAATGAAGAGGTGCTCTAGACCTAGAGAGGTAGGCAGGTATAAGGAAGACAGAGGCACCTGGGACTTATCCTTCCAGAAAGACTGTTCGGGGAGATACAGTGTTTCGGAATTTCTCAATGGCACCCCAGTTAGGTAGAATTTGGATAAATATCCATGTCTTTGAAGTCCACCCCTGGAAGGGAAACCACAAATCAGCAATAAGCCCTCATGAAAAGGAAGGCTCTTAGGAGGTGAGGCCCCAGCATCTGTGGTGACAGAGACCACCCCTATGCCTCCAGGGGCAGTGCCCTTGGCAGTGCCACAAAACTGGACCTTGGGCCTCCATCTGGAAGAACTTCTAGTAGGATGGGCTTTCCTTCCTAGCCAGAAGCTGTGGATTAGTAACTAGGAAGATACTCAGAAGAGTTGGCTCTGGGTGATGTTGAGGGAGACTGGTGGCTCTGATAGAGGATAGGACCTGCCCAGAGGGAAGTCAAGCCATTGCCATGCTGGACTGAGCTGCTTAGGGTTGGGGGAGCTCTGGTTTCAGCATTTCTGGAAGTGGATGCCAACTTCAGAAGAGGGGAGATGGTTTCCACAGCAGAGGAAAAAGCAGGGAGACACTCAGGCAAATGGGTGAGTGGACAATGTTTCTTTTCTCCTGTTCAAGAACAGCCAACGTAAGCAGAAGACACAGTCAGATTTCCCAGATGGTGGAGGTGGGGGTGAAGGCAGGGTAATGAAGAAGACAAACCTGAGGTGATGCTAGGCCCCTGGTGGTAGCCCCTGGTGGAGCAGGGTTGGGCCTGGGCGCTGAAGAGTGAGGGGCAGGTCACAGATGTGTATGGGCTGAGCAGCCCAAATCAGGGGTTCTTGAACTCCAGAGAGCATGGGATCACTTCAGGAGTTTCTGATTCAGAGAATCCGAAGTGTGGTTCAGAAATGTGCATTTTAAGCCAGCACTCTGGTGACCGCGCTGCAGGTAGACAGAACTTTGGGGGACTGTTCTAAGATGCAGCAGTCACGGTAGGACAGTTAACCTAGTCTGATTTCTCTAGGCCCTTGCATCTTTCTTCTTCCTCCCCAACCACAGGCATGTCTTATGCTGTCATGCCTGTGGTCTGTGTGTTGTGAGATATGTGTCAGTGTGTTGTGGGTAGGAGCAGTTGGACAGATTATGAGGTCAAATCAGGCAGATTTAGCTTGTCAGAACCATGCCTCTCACCTTACAGAACACTTCCAAATTCTGATGGCTGGCTGCCCTGTGTTTTTGAAACCTCACCACTGAGAACCACTATGTTAGGAGCATGGCCGGGAGATGGCTCTCTGTGGTCCAGTAAGATCTGTGTGGATTCGGTGGCTTGGTACAGGACGAGTCCTAATTATACTTCTTCTTGGAGACAGGCCTGGGTCCTGGGTAGTGGAAGGAGGGGTGGACAGAGTACAGGGCCTAGCCTACTGCGGATAGATGCAAATGAGGCTGTTGTTTGAGCACTTGGTGGGAATGAGCACAGTGTGGGTCAGTCAAGTCCAGCTGAAAAGCCATGGTGTGAGGTTGGATATCAGGGAAGGACTGTGGATGTAGGGCATGCTGAGTTCCTACTGATTACCTCTTCCAGTGTTTTAGCCATTGTTTGTGTAAAAGTGTGTGTGTGGTGGTTGGTAAGATTAAGAGTCAACCCCAGGGGGGCACCTGGCTGGCTCAGTTGGTGGAACATCCAACTTGTGAACTTGGGGTCATGAGTTTGAGTCCCAATCTCAGTGTAGAGTTTATAAAAAAAAAAAAAAAAAAAAGTCAGTACTGGGTCACCTTTCCCCATCACCTTCCTTCTGGTCCACTTAAAATCAGCCTGCTTCCACACTAGTTTCTAACCAGACACCTCTCTGTGGCTGGAGAGCTGCAGGAAACACCGGGTTCACACTACTGACAGGGAGTAATGCCATTTACCCCTTGCTTATCCTTTGTGTGGAAGGTTGTCTGGGCCCTCTGTATGATGGAGAATGACAGGGTGGGTCCTCACCTAAGTTTACATTCCTCCCATAAAGTATAGTCTCGCCCTGGAGGCTTTCCCTGGGGACCACTTCCCATCCCTCTCCAGACTTTATGAGCCACGGTCTAGATCTTCTATGAACGTCCTCTCTCTGGTTTTTCTTTCATCTGCCCTTTTCACAAGGTATCCAGGCTGTAGTCCTGCAGACTGGGTCTGTCGCCCTTCTTGTAGCAAGGGCCTCCTTGGCGTCGGAGCATTTCTTCCTTAGTCCTCAAGGACATCCTCGGGCCTTAGAAGTTTCTCACTAGTTGCGCCCAGCTGGTGGATTGAGCTTCTCACTGCAGCCTAGAGAGAAAGGCCCTATGACACAGGGTCCCAGCCCAGTTTATTCCTGTTTCTAGGAGTTTTCCCAAAAGTTTCCTCCTGGTTTCTCTTCTACCTCTCCTCTCCCCAGTGTCACAATGCAGAGGAATGGAAGGTCCTTTCCCCATGGATTGCAACATTTGGTCACCCTTCCTGATGTAACAGTCAGATTACATTTCCCCTGACTGTTTATAAGTTATTCTCACCTACTGTTGGATGTGAAGAAAATGAGTATGTCCTGGAGGCTGGTTGTACTTATGGGAGGTGTAGGTGATAGGGCTGGGGGCATATCCCTTGCGCCTCTGTACCCATGGTGCCCATCCTTGCTGGCATGTGTGTATCCCCATAGCTCTCTCTGCCTGGCTCTGCTGGTTTCTGACAGTGTGCGGTCTTGTTTCATTGGGGCAGTTATATACACATAGCTCTGTATTTCAGGTGTGAATTTCTATACAGGGATGAATGTTTGGATGAGAAAATGTGCCGTAAAGCAACCAGGCTGGTGGAGGTTTGGGGAATTGGTGATCTATAAGCCCAATAAGTAGCTAAGGAACAAAAAGAAGGAAATTAACAGATAAAAGGAATTAAGCAGATGGGTGCTACTGGGTCTGGAATACTTGGCTTTCTTGGTTTTTGTGCATGCTTTTGTAATGCAGAAAGGGCTAGAGGGTTGAGGGAAGAAGGGTTTCTTCTTTGTGGCTCTACTGCAGACTCTGCCCCATTCGGCTGCTGCGGCTTTAGATTTTCTCATATTCTTCCAGAAGACTTTGAATTTTGTTCCTAGTTGAGAATGGGGTACCTGAAGCCGTCCCCACACAGATTCTGGTTTAGTGCAAAAACAGCCAGGCTCCCTTCCACCTCCTGTCTCCTGGTACTGATCCTAGCAGTAAGTAGGCTGGACCAGAATTTGGACGCCTCAGGGCCCATGTACATCAGAAAGCCTAGGCCTTTGCCCCAGGCCGTGGAAGACCAATATTAGGAGCCATGGATTTAAGCTCACTTCAGGGTTGTTGGGGTGGGGCCTGTATTTCAAGATAGATGTCGATGTGCTAGGCATTTTAAGTTGGGTCTCCTTCTCAGGAACAGCAACAGGGTTTATCCAGGGTGACCTGGTGTTCACCTCTAGCATTCTGCATAGGGCCTGATGACCTGGCCTTCCTTCCACCAGAACAGCCCACTGAGCATCTCTGAAGCAGGAGCAGAGCTGCTGGGGACTTCTGGTTTGAGAATGGGATTGGGGAGGAAGGCTTCCAGTCACTGGGAACATGGAATGGCATACCTGACTCCACGGTCAGCCAGACTCTTATCTCTCAAGTTACAGGGCTCCTGGTAAGGACAATGCCTTAGAATCAGCTTCTGTCCCCTACCGTGCATGTACGTGATATCTCTAGACCAGGGTGTCCCTGTGTAAGGGAACAGGCCGGAAGGCAGGAGGAGGCAGGGGAGGGATTTCTGGCTATGTTAACTCCCGGTAAAAATATTCACAGTTCAAACAACAGCCAACCTGTCCTGCTTGTAAACTCCTAAAAATGCACACCACCACGCCTCTAATCACCCCCTACCAGGCGTTTGCCCTGGTTTTCTTTAAAATGTTTCCTCTTTCCCTCCTATCTTTCTTTCTAATTTTTGTTTTGTTTTCAACTTTTACACACAAGTCACATTCCCTGAAAGCACACAGTGGAAAAGCTTCTTTCCCCCTACACGTGCTGCTAAGAAAATAGTCTTACACAGAGTTTCACGGGGAAAAGAAAAGGATAGGAAGGGAGGGCCAGGGGAGAGAGGCTGAGAGGCAGGAAGGGGGGCAAGAGCACGAGCACAGTAGGGCCTGTATTTACACCTGGCATCACTGAAGGACTGCTTCCCCCCTACCCTGGCTGGCTAGAGTCGGAGCTCTTAATTTGAGAAATGGATTGGATCAGAAGTGAGGTTCACAGAACATGTGGGCACAAGGGACTCGGCTGATTTTCCCATCTTTTCGGCACATGAGCCTCTGCTTCGGTATTAACATGTTCATGGGCAGAGTGACAGACCAGGAAGTGGAAATCCGGGGGCTAACTGAACTGTGGGCGCATATGAAATGGATGATGGTAGTGGAAGAAGCCCGAAGGGAGAAAGTCTGCAAGGAGAATACCTTGAGAGGGGACCCACCCCAAGCCCGGGCGAGGGCAGTAGCAGAAACTGGAGGACTGGGAGATTTTGCAGGCTTTTCTTTGCTGAAATAAAACACCTGCTTTTCTACCTTGTGCCACTTTAGCTGGGCTTTGGGATCACCACCTGATGCTGGCAGAAACAATGAGGTTACAGATAGGGAACCTTCTTCTAGCTCATTGCTTTCGTTGGTTTCCCTTGGTGACAGCACTCTGTCAGAGATTCACCTTGTGCTTCGGTCATTGCCTTGCCCGCCCACCCCCTGAGCTGTCCTCAGCTCCAGAGCCCCAGGGCCCTCCCAGACAACCTCTGACTCTTTGGGCGGTGCCCCCAGCAGCTGCTGCTTACTGGTGGGAGGAAGGGCAAGGTCAGAGAAGGAGGGAAGAACACAGGTGGGGAACAAGGGTCCCTGCAAAGGCAAGGATTTCAAGTGACCAGGAATGTGAAGGGGCCACTGGACATGGAGATAGAAGTTCGGGTTTGTGAAAGAAGCGAAGGGGAGGAAACCGTGATAAGCTGCAGGAAAGGGAAGTATACCCACGATTCAGAAACCACGCAGTCCTTTGCACTCTTTTCTTCCTGGGACCGCCAAGATACATTTGACAACACTGACTTTTCTAACTAGCGGCTGGGAACAAAGGGGTGTTAGCAGTCCTGATACTCAACTCAGGGGGCAAAGGTAGGTCCCTCCCCAGTCTCCAGGCTCTTTTCCCCATGGCCAGCCCCGGCTTTGGAAGCTGGGTATGGCCAGGGCCAGGCTGCATGGCTTTCTGTCCCACTGTACCCATGCAAGGACTTAAAGCCATTTGCTCTTTCCAAGACTAGTGGTTTAAAGAAACCCTTAACGTGAGGGGAAAGGGACACAAACAGGAAAAAAAAAAACCAAAAAAATACCAAAAAAACACTTGTTTGATGGGAGAGTTTGCAGTTTTTTTTTCTGTATTTTCCAAGTTTATGTTTTACTTTAGTTCATTCCTCTGTCTCCATCTCTCTCCTGTGCACATGTGCGCGCGTGCTCTCTCATTTTTTTTTTTTTTTTGGTTGTGTGTGTGTTTCAGTTTTTTTAAAAGAACTTTGGATTTGCCGTTGGTGGGCGGCGCCGGTCCCGGAGGCTGGACCCCCACATGGCAGGGCTGGGACAAGGGGCGGGCCCACGGCTGCTGAGAGGATCTCTGTGTTTAAAGCCTTTGAGAATAAGTTACTGCAGTTCCCAGGGTGCAGGGTGGGGGTTGGCAGAGGGGTTCCTGGCGGCGGCTTCCCCTAGAGTCCAGGCCGCAGGGGCTCCTGGTCAGGCGAGGAGAGGGTTAGGAAGGAGGGGTGTGGGGAGAGTGAACTGTGAGCACTTCTCCCCCTGCCACCCTCCAGTTTGGTTAGAGTTTTGTGGGCTCCCTGCCCATCCCAGGCTCCAACCTTGGGAGCCAACTGGGTATTTGGAAAGTTTGTGAGCTGTGTGGCGCTCTAGACAAGGGGGTAGGGAGAGAGAAGGGGGAGTAGCAAAGTTTGTTTTCCTTCCCCCTTCTTTGTCTTGGGTTTTAACTTTCTTCTTTTTCTTTTTTTTCTTTTTTTTTTTTTTTTTGGTGTTTTCTCAGTCAGTGAACAGCATGGGCTGACATATATGTGTGTTTGCGGGGGTTGACTGTGTTGGGGGGTGAATCCAGTGGGAATAAGGTAGTGGATGATTCAAGGATAGACCGTGTGTGGTGGGCAGAGCAGAGATGAGCGGAGCATCAGGATGACAAGATGGGTGTGCGTCTGTGAAGACATGGGGCAAGGAGCCGCAGAGGAGCAGCGTGTCTGGGGGCGGGGGGGGGGGGGGGGGGGGGGGGCAGAGGCCGGCCTGGGGTGGGAGGGGGAAGGGTCCGGTGAGGGGGGCAGGGGCGGGGGGGGGGGGGAGGGATGTGAGCTCCCACCAGACACCCCTTGGGGTAAGGGAGGGGGCCCTGAGGCCCTCCCCTCTCCCCCCATCTTGGTTTATCTGTTTATAAAGCTAGAAGTGTAGAGGTAGTAGTAGTTTTTGGGTTGGAGTCCGTGTGAGGTAATCTTGCTTCCTCTTTGGCAAAAGCCACAGCAGCCGAGGCAGCGGTGGCGGCGTTGGTGATGGTGATGGGTGGGCCCCCCGGGGGTGGGGCCGCCTTGCGCCGGTGGGCCGAGGAGCGCAGGTGGGAGGCCAGGGCTTCGTGCCCACTCAGCAGCACCTCACATGCCAGGCAATGGTAGGTGCAGATGGGCACCCGCAGTGGGGGGGGCACAGAAGCCCCAGGGCCCCGCCCAAAGAAGCAGAACGATCTCTGGTGAGCAGTGGCTGGGGCCTCCCCATCAAAGGCCATCTTGCACTGACGGCACAGATAGCGGTGGGTCACGTCCACAGTGGAGATGCCCGCACTGCCTGACAGCAGCTCATCAGCCTCCCCGGCCTCCCCCTCCCCTGGAGCAGCCAGTTCAGGAGGCTTTGGAGGCGCTGTGGCTGTGGGCTCGGGGGGCTGGGGTGGTGGCTGGAGGAGGGCGTTGGGGAGCAGTCCGATGAGGGTCTGAGGTATCACAGGGTTCATGGGAAATAGCCCCTTCTTCATGCCATAGAGCTGTTGGAAGTAGGCCCCCTGCAACTGGGGGCCAAAGACAGCTGGTGGTGTGGCCCCCCCCGCAGGGGGCAATGGGAAGGGCAGGAATTGGCCCCCCAAGAGGGCTGGTACAGTAGCCTTCAGTGCTTTGAGGTTCTTGAGGGCATCAGTGGAGGCGTTGGTGGGGGCTGCAACTGGCTTTCGCTCACCAGAGACCTTGTCCCCAGAGGGCTCAGGAGGGGGGCCTGGGGCAGGGTCAGTGGTGCCTGCTGTGGAGGTGTTAGTTTGCTCGGGCACAGGTCTCTGAGGTAAGGGGCAGCCTGGGCCAGCAGTCTGGACCACTGTGGTAGCAGGCAGGACTGAAGTGGCGAGGCCGAGGAGGCCAGAGGAGGCTGCAGGGCCTAGGAAGATGAAAGGAGTGATGAAGGATTAGCCACCTCCTGGCCTGTCATCCTTCCTGCTGTAGGCCACCTCTAGCCACACCCTCGCCCACTCCCACCACCGAGCAGCCATGCGCCCTTCCCTCCCTTTTCTCCCCACCTCCCCCCCAAGAGCCTGAAACTAAGGAAGGCCACTGGAGGCTGGAGGTGGGGAGAGTCAAGGAGAAAAAAGAGGGGCATGTCATTAGAGAGAGATGGCTCTCTGAAGTTCAACCCCTCCCAACTGCCCACTCACCTGAACTGAAAGGAGCTAAGCTGCCCAGTGGGGGCTGGGCCAGAGCTGGGCCAGACAAGAGGACCGGGGCCAGGCGAGGCAGGGCTGGGGCAGCCCCAAGGGGCAGAGAGGCAGGTGTGGTGGCAGGTGTGGCCTTGGGAGCCGGGGGTGCCTCGGGTGCTGGGGCCAAGTCGTAGCACTTGCTTTCACTCTTCAGCTGGGCTCGGACTGCCTCTTTGAGTTTGGCCAGGTGCTGGCGTGAAAAGAGATGGCCTCGGCAGGAGACATAGAAATCATACTTGACATCGCAGTAGGGACAGTCAGTGCGCTGGGCTCCCAAGGGGCCCTCACTGCTGCCCCCAGCCCCGCCAACCGCTGCCCCCTGCAGCTTGGCCTTCTTTTCCTTGGCACGAGCATTCTGGAACCAGACCTGGATGACTCTCTTGGGCAGCCCAATCTCCTCCCCCAGCACCTCACACTCCTGCATGGTTGGGGTACGGTAGGCTTCGTAGCAGGCTTTCATGATCTTCAACTGCAGGCTGCTCATCTGGGTCCTGTAGCGCCGCTGGCCCATCCCATCTGGAACCCCAGCCCCACTTCCTGTTCCTCCACTGCTTCCTCCAGCCCCAGGGGACTCTGGTTCGGCCAGACTGGAAGCAGACGAATCGCTGAGATCCCCTGCGGATGGACTGCAAGCCTCGCTCTCTGGAGAAGCTTTAGCCGGTTCCTCTGCACCCTCTTCCTCACTGGGTGGAGGGGGAGGTGGGAGAGGTAGCGGTGGCTCTGGTGTTGGGGTGGTGGCCTCTTTCCCAGGTGGTAGAAAAGGGAGGGGCCCGGCGGCAGGGGTAACCGGGGGGTAGGGAAAAGCAGGTGCTTCCCGCTTTGAGGTCTCCCTCCCAGTCCCATCATCTACCTTGCCCAACAAGAGGTTGAACTTGGGGAAGGTTGCCGGGGCAGACGTGATGGGGGGCTTGGCTGCTGGGTTGGGCACCGCTCCAGGGGTGCTTCGAAATTGGCCTTTCCTCTCCCGGGCCCTGGTGTTCTGGAACCAGACCTGCACCACTCGCTTCTTGAGCCCCACCTCCTCAGAGATGCAGTCAAGCATCTTGCGCGTTGGGTTGGAATCTTGCATGTACCAGCGGTACAGGATCTCCAGCTGCTCCGGCAGGATGGTTGTGCGCAGGCGCTTGTCCCGGGGTGGCTCGCCCTCCCCTCCCCCCCCTGCTTCACTGCCTGTTGGGGACAGGCTGCCCTCCTCAAGCTTCCGTTTGAGTGGAGGCCCTGGCGCCGGCGGAGTGCCTGCCACCAGGGGGCTTCGCTCCCCAAATACCAGCAAGGGCAGATCCAGGAGGTGCGGGGCCGCGCTGGGCTGCACGGGTGGCAGGAAGTGTAGCCGCCGGTGACTGGTCAGGAGGTCTTGGCTGGGGAAAGCCATGGTGCACTGGTCACAGGTGTGGACTGGGGAAGGCGAGGGAGGGGCCCTCCCTTCAGGTTCTTTGCCTCCTGGCTTTGCTGCCTCTGCTTGGCTCAGCTCTTCCCTCTCCAGGGGCTCTGGTGAGGGACCCTCGGGCGCTGCGGGGGGTTCCAGGCTCTGCTCCTCCTCTGCATCCTCCTCCTCCACCTCTTCCTCCTCTTCGCCGCGCTCTGCCTCTTCCTCCTCCTCTGCAGGGGGCTGGTCGTCGTAGCATTTCTTGAGGTGCCGCACCAACTCAAAAACACAGGAGAAGGTGGCATGGCAGCGCCTGCAGCCAGAGGCTCCCCCGTTGCCGCCTCCGGTCGGCACAGGCCCACCCTCGATGGCATTTTTGCGTGCTTTCTGGCGGGCATTCTGGAACCACACGACCACCACGCGGCTAGCCAGGCCCAAGAGACTTGCGAGCCGCTCCACCTCTCCATCCTTGGGGTAGGCACTGGTCTCAAAGAAAGACTGCAGGGCTTGGGTCTGGAACTCTGTGAACTTGGTTCTGGAGAACCTGCGGCCTGCAGGCACTAGGGGAGGCAGATTCCCTCTGGAGCCTTCTTCCTCCTCTGGGGGCCAGCGTCCTGCCCGGCTGCGCTCCTCAGAGGGACGGGTCCCCCCTGCCTCAGGCTCTGGGACCAGGAATGGAGGGCCCAGGTGGGGAGCTGGTGAATCCAGGGACCCATCAGGAGGTTTGGGGGGCTCTGCAGGGGGTGGGTATAGGCTGTCATAGCTCTTTCGAAACTGAGCAGCATAACGGCTCAGGGCCTCAAAGGGCAGAAATCGGCGGTGGACGTGCTCCTCGTGTGTCTTGAGGATAAGCATATTGGAGAAGAGTTTCCCACAGGCCCCACAGGCCAGCTTGTCCCCACCCCCCAGGGCCTCTGGTGGGGGGGGGGGTCGGGGGAGGGGGCACAGCCTGCTTTCCTTCATTGTACTGGATCACCAGCTCAAAGCCAAAGTTTTCTAGAAGGGCTTTGGCTGCAGTGCGGGCTGCTTCGTTGGGCGTTGAGGTGGGGGGTGAGGCGGGCCCTGCCTCATTCCCCTCTTCTGCCGTGGGGGGCCGCTCCCACTCCCGCTCAGCCAGCTCAGCCTTGGGTGGCAGGGGCGGGGGAGGAGGGGCGGCAGCTAGTAGGGGCGCAGGCCCAGCCAGTGCCAGCTTGGGCCCCACCTTGATGTCATGGAGGTAGAAGGGCAGGAGCAGCTGTTGCTGCTGGAGCTTAAGCAGTGATTCGGGCACCAGAGGGAAGGGGGGCAGGACTGGTGGGGTGAAGAGGGGAGCTGGGAAGCGGTGCAGGTCCAAGGGGGGTGGGGGAGGCGACAGGAAGGGCAACCCAGAGGTGAAGCCACCAGGGTCAGGGCCCTTCTTCTCAGTGCCCACCTCCCCCTCTGTCTCGCCCTCCTTGGGCTCTTCTTGGCCCCGCTCCGGCCCCTCAGCCTTGGCGTCAGTCTTGGTCCCCCGAGAGCGAGTCTGGTGCAGAACTGAGCGCATGTGGATCTCCAGGGTGGAGCTCTGGTTGTAGGAGACTCGGCAGACCGTGCACTTGAAGGGCTTGTCTGTGGCGGCAGCAGTGGGAGGCGTGGCACCTGCCTCTCCTCGGGCAGGGCCGGACGGGTCAATGGCAGCCTTCTTCATCTTGTGCAGGTGGGAGACAGAGTTGTAATGGACCAGGAGAATATTCTTCTGCGTGAAGGACTCCTTACACACAGTGCACTTATAGGGCCGGGCAGGGTCAAGAAACTTGTCCAGGGCAAAGTTGGTGGTCTTCCGATAGGTCAGAGGGTGGCGGGAGTCAGCTGGAGCAGGCTCTGCAGGGCGGGGCTCCCCGACACTGCCCTCTTCCTCCTCAGCCACGGTGGGTGGAGGGGCCACTTCTTCCACTGGGGCATCAGGCCGAGGGGCTGGAGAAGGGGATCGATCAGGGCTTCCCGGGGGCTTGTCTGGGGCCTCGGCTGAGGGCGGGGGAGGCTCAGGAAGAGGATCAGGACTGGCTTCAGGGGTCAGGTGAGGGCCTTCTGCGGGAGAGAGAAGGGTGCCGTGAGACCGGAACTCTGTCTAAAGTCAGACCCCACCCACTCAACGTCTAGGGCAACTGGTCCTTGCCTCGGGTGTCCTCAGACCCTCTTGGGATGTGGAGCCCAGGTCCCCTTTTCCTGCCACCTTGGCAGGTGTGCCATCCCCATTCTTACCTGCTCCCTGTTCTCTGCTGGGCGCAGGCTCTGGGGCATCCCCCAGCGGGCACAGAGTGGGCCCAGGCAGCACTTTGGTCGTAAAGGTCATCTCTACAGTTGTGGCCTGTAATGGAAGAGAGCCCAGTGACTGCCCCGCCCCACCCCCACCCCCCGCTACTCCTGACACCCTGCTTTGCACCCGCGCCCACCCTGTGCCCAGCCCCTGTCCAGGCCTCCACCCTCGTCCTGGACTCACGCCCCCTAACTTCTGCTCTTCCCCGTGCCGCAGCCTGTGCCTGCCGTTAAGCAGCTCTTGTCTGGACCCTAATGGAAATGAAGGAAACACTGAGCTCCCTCACCGGCGAGCAGAGGCAAGCTCTAAGTATCCCCCCAACACTAAAACCCCCTCAAACCTGTGAAGTGCTGCTTCCTCACCACCACCCTCCCGGCCACACACACACCTGCCTGGACACCCCTGCCTTTTCTTCCCCTCCTACCCGGCCCGAACGGGGCCTCCTGGTTGGGTCCTCCCTGAGCCAGTACTCACCACAAGCAGCAGCTTCTCCACACACTCGGGCACCACATTGTGCAGGTGGCTGAGGTGGAAGTGCAGGGCAGGCCGGCCCACCAGCTGCTCCTGGCACAGCGGGCACCTGTACTTGGGCTGCACTGCATGCTGGGAGAGCGTGTGAGCCCTCACCTGGTCGGGCTCTGGGCTCAGAAAGCTGCAGTATGGACAGCAAAACACCTGGGGACACACGGGTGGGGGGTGGTGTGGAGGAGGCATCAGGGAAGGGGGGGCCCACCATCACCCAGCCCTGTGTGTGCGTGAACACAGCAAGATCCCCACGCCCAATTTAGGAGGAGTGAGCCCCAAACGAAGGCATCACGAGGGATCCAGCGAGAGGCAAGAAGCTGGCTCCTCCCTCGTTTCCCTTAGATTGGGACAAAGGCCTAAGCTAGACTTGCCCTTGCCTTCCTTCTTTGTTCAGGCCTCTCCCTCCATTCTGGCCTCTGTCTCTCCTTGGCCTGTCTTTCCGGTCTCTTCTGCCTTGCTCACTTCTCCAGCTAACAGTATATGGCCTTGTACCTCCTCCCCCGGGTTGAGTTTTCTTTTCTTACCCACCCCCACCCTGCCGGTGTCTTCTCCATGAAATGGCTCCCCTGCCCTCTGCACATCTGGATCCAGAGGCTCCTTCATCCCTGCTCACTCTGCCTCTCCGAGGTCCCTAATCTGAGTGTCTCCTGAAGAGGGGCCCGCCCTACCTGTCTGCTCAGAAGCCGGCTCATTCTCCCAGACGCTTAGCAGCTCCCACTTTCTTTTCCTTCTCCTCTTCTTAATGTAAACAAACACCACAGCTCCCCCAGCGGCCCAGGAAAATTCTGGCCTGGCTCTGCTGGCGCATTCCCGCCCACACCTCCAGAGGGATGGGGCTGAGGGAAGGCCCTGTCTCCGCCTTAGTCACCTGACTGCCTGACCTCCAGCCTGCAGTTCCTCTCCCTGGCTCACTTCCTCTCCTGCCGGCCGGTGCCACTGGTCCAAGCCCAAGAACTGGGAGGAGGTAATGGCCCAAAAGGAAAGGCATCCAGATGCTCATTTTAATGCCCTCGGCCCTAGGAACAGATACCTGGAATGGGCCTGCAGGAGCGAACAGGAGCGAGGAGGAGGGCCTGGCCAGCACTGTCGTCTGTGGGGATGCAGGAATACTGCGTGCTGCGGTCCCATTTGGAGAGCTGTGAGGGGCAGCATGGCACCTCAGGACCCAGGCTGGGAGTCCCCTCAGATTAACACTTTAGAGCCACAGAGCTAAACCACCCAGGTCCTGCCTGGCCCAGGGTGAGGCCCGAGGCCAGGTGACTTGGAGAGCTGCAGAGTTTGCTATCTGGGCTGGGGCCTCTACCCTCAGGAAGGAGGTGCCTGGATGCTTCCCTGCAGGCTCAGGGCCTTCTGCAGGAGATGACAGGTCTAGTCGTCTTTCTGTTCCTGACAGGAATAGAGAGCTGGGCAGCAGCTAGTCTTGTGGTTTAGGCTTTCTCTTTTCATTTCTTCACTGTGTCTTCCGCCTTCTCTCCACCTGTTTTCAGCCTTTCCTACCTCGATACTGCTTCTGTCTCCCCTTCTCCCTCAAGTCCTGCCCTCCCTTGTCCCTCTGTGCTCCACCCGCTGTGTGGTGCTGAACACATAACTGGCCCTAGGTGGCGTTTCTCAGTGTGGTGTTTTGAGATAAGTCACAGGCCTGACAGAATTCGGTCTACCTTTAGTCTGAAATCCTGTGTGTAAAGCTCTACCAATGAGAATTTTAGGCTTTAGAATATGAACAGATCTCAGTAACACCAGACCCCCAACCCCAGCTTTTCCCAGTTATCCCGGTTCTGACCGTGGTCTGGTTGGCATTGTCTCCTGGAGGGCCAGTCTTGTTCTCTGCCTCTTCAGAAGCTGAAAGGAGAGGAGATTAAAGAGATCTGACAGCCCTACCTCTTCCTTTCCAGAGCCCCCAGCCCTTAAGATGATCTGACTTATAGCAGAGAGCTTCCAGGGTAGGTGCTGGACTCTGGGGAAAGGGGAAAGGGCAGGAAAGGACAATGCCGTCCTCAATTCCGGGAGAGGAGGCCCGGCGGGGCCAACCCCAGGTTAGCGGGATGGCCAGGTTTGAGCCTTTTGGGGCCCCCCCTTTCCCTCTGGTGAGTCCTTTCTTGCATCAGCTTGGCTCCCCGCGCCCAGGAGGCCTTGCCCGACATTTGGATTACTGCCACGTCCCCTGTGCCTCTCAGAATGTATTTGCGGGGGCAGGGATGGAGGGAAAACGGACCAGTTGAGCAACTCACCCAATTGTTCGGTTTTGTTCTGGGCATCTTTTTCAGGGGTGGGCGGCTCAGCTAAGGGGGTGACAGGAGGCTTCCCTGTGTAGGAGGAGGGGAGAGTCAGCTTAAGAGAGTGAAGCATCAGGAAAGGGAGTACCTAGGGCAGAGGAAGTGGGACAAGCAGCCAGGAGAAGGAGAGATGGATGGATGAGCCAACAGGCTGGAGAGGACAAAAAGCTGCCAAAAAGAAATAGAGGATGAAGGAGAAATGGCAGGGTTAGAGCTAGGAGGGCCTAAGAGATGCTGTCTGTGAGCCCAGCCCCCGTCATTTCAAGACGAGGAAACAAGTCTGGCCATAGGCAGCAGAGATGGGGCCAACTCGGCTCCCCATCTTGACTGGTCCTGGAAGCAGGGAGCCCAGAAACATAAAGGGAGGGGCACTGGAGAAGGAAGGTGAGGCCGAATGGAAGCAGGTGCGGCGAACAGGAGGCGGCAGGTCTAGCTGGGAGAGATTACCACTCAAGTAAGAATTGACAGATGTGTAGGAATTTATTTTCGATGGCAGCCTAATTAAAGTGTTAAAGTTCCTTAACTCCATTCAGCCCTGCGCCAGGATCATTAGCTATTGATCCGGGCCCCTCCGGCACTTAACTCCAGCCAGCATATTGGCAATTCAATTAGCACCAGTCAATGCTGCCTCTTCCTGGTTCCTGCTGCCCGCACCCTCACCCTCGCCCGCCGCCGCCGCTGGCCCCTACAAAACCCGGATGCCCGTGCCCACCTCTGACAGCCCCTTCCAGGCTCTTCTCCTGCACCCTCTGGATCAATGGCGCCTGGCTGGCTGTTCCCGGTCTCTGCTGGTACAACCTCAGCTGCCTAAGGGGGACCCTAAGCCCAGCCTTCGGGCTGAAGACCTCCTAGGAGACAGGAAGAGGCTGGGGAGCTCGTCAAGGGCTTCCTCTCCCTGCTGCCTTCGGGCCAGGCCCACAGCTCCCATCTCCGATCTCCTTCCAACACGCCCTGGCCCGGCACGAAGTGCATCCTATTCTGTTTTCCTACTTCCTCTCTCCTTCCTGACCAGCTCCTGCCGCCGCCCAACACCTAGCGTTGCCGGGACACTGGTCACCATTCGGAATCACTGGGTGATTCCTCCTTACCTCCCTTCCCGTTTTCTGCTCTCCACCCAGCAAAGCCCCCGCCCTTCTCTGCCTCCTCCCTCGCACGAGCCTCCTACTTCCCCCCCTTCACTGGGCTGCCCCACTGCTCCCCATGTCCGGTTTTATCAGCCCTTCACGGCTGGCTCCTCTCCACTTGCTCTCGACTGCCCACAGACCCGGTTCTCCTCACTGGCATGCCCTTCTCCCCAGCCCCAGCTCCCACCGCACGCCGCCGCCCAGCCCCTTCTTCCTCACCAGGAGTCCGGAGCTGCCCGTGGCTGAAGCTCAGGATGCTCTGCAGGGCCGAGAGCCCTTCCTCGGCCGCGGGGCCGCTGTGCAGCAGCTGCAGGCGCCGCTGGGCCTGGGCGTCGCGGTGAGCCGGCGCACGCAGGTGCTGCAGCACAGCCAGGCGGGAGGGGGTCTCCCACGCACACAGCAGGCAGCGGAAGAGCCCCAGCTCGGCCCCCGCCGCGGCCCCCTCCATCTCCAGCAGAAACTGGAAGCGTGGAAAGAGGCTGCTCAGGCCAGAAGGGACAGGGCCCTCTAGATCTCAGGGGCCCCCTCCGCCTCCCCAACGGGAGCCTGACCAGCAGCAGCCCCTCCCTGCCCATCCCTTCTGCCCTCTTGAGCACGCCCTTTTCCCTCCTCTGGCCACCTGGATATTAGTGCTTTTTCTCCCCCATCTCCTTCTCTTCCTCCTACCAATCCTGGCCTCCCTCCTGGTAGGTGAATGGAATCTGCTTCCATCCTCTTGAACTGGTCACAAGATGGCCTAAGCAGACAGACACCCCCCTTACCTCCCCACTCCCCACTCTAGTCCCAAACACCAGAAAAACTGAATAAAGTGCTGGATTCATTTTCTCTGAGTCCACCAACCTTTGGTCTCCTCTCCACAACCGTCTCCAAAGAGTTGATGATCCTGGTACATACTTGCCATTTTTATCCAAGCCTGCCACCCTGGGTTTTCCCATCGCTCTCCCACTCGTGGGGATCTCCTTGGTCCACCCCCATGCCCTTCAATTCTTCTCTCTCCCCAGGGGCTCTGTGCCGGGGCCCCTCGAGTGCCAGACCCTCCCTGGCCCACTCTTACCTTATAGATCTGGCTGTTCTCTTCATGGGCTGCACCCCGGGCGTGCAGCTGCATCTTCTCCTTGCTGTTGGACTCGAAGTCACAGATGTTGCAGCGCAGGTGCAACGGGGGCATGGAGCCATAAGGGGCCCCGTCTCCCAGGGGCACCGGGGACGGGGAGCCCATGGCCCCGCCCCCCTCCCTCAGGTGGGCGGCCAGCTGGTACTTCTGAGCATGTTTGTCGGTCTTGAGGTGGAGCTGAAAGTTGGCCTTGAGCTGGGTGCCATAGCAGCAGAGCTTGCAGCGGTGGGTGTCCCCGGCCACCTCCTTCCATTCGGCCTCCGGGAGGCTTCGGCCCACGCTGCAGTGGTAGAGCAGCAGCTCCAGGCTGTCCGTGCTGAAGGCCTGGCACACCAGGCAGCGGAACACCTTCAGGGACGGGCTGTCATCTGGGGGCGGTGAGGTGGGCAGGCTGTCAGACAAGGAGCCCAGGAGCTGACTCGGAGGCAGGTGGGTGTCCGGTGAGAGGCTGCCAGGGGCTGGCGGACAGACACAGATGAGTGGCCCAGGGAAGGAAAGGGGTGGGAGGGCAAATGAGGACAGTGCTGAGGCACAGCTGGGATTACCGAGTGCATGGGGGAGGGGGGGAGGCGGCCCTTGGGAGGAAGCAGAGACTTGAGTTTGGGCCCCGGGGAAGGGAGGAGGGGAAGCAGGTGCAGAGCCCAGGCTGCTTACCGGCTGCGGGGAACTTGCGAGCAGCTGCTCCGAGGTGGTGGAAGCCGTTGAGAAGCAGCTGGGCTTCCAGGGGCTTGTCCGGCCTCAGCCCGGGGCCGGGCAAGGGAGCCTGAGGCTGCCCTAGGGCCTGTGGCCCGAAGTACTGGAAGAGTTCAGGGGGGGTGGCGGGGGCAGCTCCTGCCGGGGGCGGGGGGCCTGGCCCCACCAGCCCAGGGGGCAGGCCCAGCGGCAGCCCCTGGTGCAGCATGAGGACATTCTGCATGTGCTTCTCGGAGGTCATGTGGATGCGCAGGTTTCGGGAGATGTTGGTCTCATAGCTGCACACCTTGCACTGCCAGGACGATTTGGTCTTGGGCTCCTTGTCCCCGGCAGAGGGCGGGAGGGACGCCTCTGGGGGACTGCCCTGGCCACCAGGGCCCGCCTGGAAGCCCTGCAGGTTGGCCAGGTGCTTGTCCGACTGCATGTGGATGCTGAGGTTGCCCTTGGTGGTGGTGGAGTAGTTGCACACGTCACAACGGTAGGGCTTGTAGCCGCAGTTGTAGCTTTCGCCCCGGGCCAGGCGGGGGTGGGCGCCCCCCGCGCTGCAGTAGCTGCAGTGGCTGTTGCTCTCGGGGTGCTTTTCGCGCATGTGCACGTCCAGGGTCTGCTGGTACTTGTAGTGCCAGTTGCACTTGGGACACTTGAGCGTCTTGCAGGAGTTGCGAGAGTGTAACAGAGACATGTGGCTGGACAGGCTGAGGCCCTGGAAGGCCGCAGGGCCCGGGCTATAGTCTTCGGCGAGGCGGTAGGGCTGCGGTGGGTCGCTGGGGTCTTCGGGGGAGCCGACTGGGGCAGGGAGAGTGCCCCCCTCCTTGGAGGCGGGTGAGCTTTGGTTGAGGGCGGGGCAGAGCCCTCCATCCTCTTCTTGCCCCTCGGGGAACCAATCTGGCCCCGCCTCACCTGCTGCCATTGGCGATTCTTTGGCTTCGGTTGGGCTGGGGTCCCAGGTGGTGGGGGTTGTGGGCGGGGAGGGCGGGCTGGGGGTCGTGACTTCCACAGGCAGGACAGGAGCCTGGGCTTCTGCCTCAGGGGGGCCACCCTCGGGCTGGGCTACATTTGCCTCTGTGCCCACCGTGCTGCTATTGTCAAGGGGGGCTTCTAAAGGGGGCTGAGCAGCTGGTTTTGGTTCCAGAAAGCTTAGGAGGGCTGCAGGTCCCTCATCTCCCGCCTGGAGGACAGCTGGGTTACCGGGCAGGCCCAGGTGTTGAGCAGGGGTTAGCTTCACCCCATGAGACTGTGTGTGACCCACGAAAGCCTGGGGCCTACTGAAACCCAGGCGGCACAGGACACAGAGCCAGAAGAGTGCCCTGTGCTCTCCTCCCCGGCTCCCCGTAGGGCCATCTTTGGGATCTCCGGGGGGGTTTGGAGCCAGCCGGTAGCTCCAGAAGGCTCCATCCCTTCCCTCACAGGTGGCCGGAGATGGCGCTGAGGTATCATGGGACAGAATTTGGTCAGAAGAGCTAAAGCCTTGGATTGGGTCAAAGCCATGTTGGATGTGAAGGGCAGTGAGGAGTGCAGGGGGCGGGTGGGCAAGGAGGGGCAGGCTGGGCTCTTCCTTGATTCCTGCCTCACCCCAGGGGAAGCCCTTTGGTAACAGGAGTTCACTGCCACCTGACAGGGATAGCTTGGCCACGAGGTAGGCCTCGCCACCAGCTGTGAAGAATAAATGGTTGCTTAGGTCCACGGGAGGGAGCCCTCCTCCTTCCTCCTCCTGCCCCTTGTCCTCTTGTACTCCTAGGTCCTTTGGTGAGAAGCCACCACAGCCAGGCTCTTCTTGGGGCTCCCCAGTCTCCTTTGGTGGGATGAGGCCACAGCCCGACTCCAGGGCCTGTACCCCTGGCTCTGAGGGCCTCATGCTCTCAGAGCTGGAGGGGGCAGCAGGGGGATCTTTGGTGACAGGATCAGCAGGGGTGCTGGGGAAGGAGGTGTCCGGAGGCGGGGACGGGGCATCGTGCCCAGGAGTGGGGGTGGTGCCAGTGGTAGAGGATGCGTTAAGGGTAGCCATGGCAGACGGAGGGGTGCCGGGGGTTCATTTCAGCGTGACAGCCAGTAACCCTGGGTGGGGGGGAAACGTGGAGAGAGAGGGGGGGCCGTGAGGTGGCAGGAGAGACACCCAGCCAGGCAGTCAACCCTCCAGATACTCCAGCCCCACTCTCTTCTTCCCCGAGCACCAGACTCAGGTACCCGCTTGCCAACGTGAACCTTCACCTTAGCGCTAAGTCTTCAAACTTAACATGTCCAAAATCAGAACTCTTGTATTTCTCCCCTGAACTTGTTCCTCCCATCTTTCCTATCTCCAAAATTGATACCTCCATTGATCTGGTTGCTTAGGCTAAAAGGCTAAAAGGTGGGCATCTGGGTGGCTCAGTCGGTTAAGCGTCTGCCTTCAGCTCAGGTCATGATCTCAGGGGCCTGGGATCGAGCCCCAGGTCAGGCTCCCTGCTCTGCTGGGGGTCTGCTTCTCCCTCTGCCCCTCCTCCCACTCATTCTCTCAATCTCTCGTTCAAATAAATAAATACAATCTTTAAAAAAAAAATCAATAAAAACCTAAAAGGCTCCTCTTGCCCCCACCCATATGCAACCGGACAGCAGCCTCTCAGACACCTGTCCTGTGCCCCCGCCAGCGTCATCTCCACTAGCACCTGGGTCGCCCCAGCCACTGCCCTTCCTGAACCAGGGCAATGGACCCCACGGTGGCCTCTGCTTCCACTACGGCCCCTACAACCCAGTCTCCTTCCTTCCAGCAGCCAGAATGATCTTTCCCTTAATTCTCAATTAGGAAAAATGCCAGGGCGCCTGGGTGGCTCATCGGTTAGGCATCTGCCTTCACGCAGGTCATGATCCCAGGTGCCCGGATCAAGTCCCGGCCTTAGGCTCCCGGCTCAGCAGGGTGTCTGCTTCTCCCTCTGACCCTTCCCTCTCTTCGTGCTTTCTCTCTCTCTCAAATAAATAAAATCTTGAAAAGAAAAATGCCAGACGTACCTATATAAAAGTAGACCAAATAATATCAGGAACCCCTTCGTACTCATCACTCAGGTTCAAAAGCCACCTGATTGGGACAGCTTGGCTGGTCTTGTTCCATCCATATCCTCACCCACTTCCCCTTTTCCTATATTGTTTTAAAGCACATTTCAGGTATCATAAAGAAACATCTTTTAAAACATAAATTGTACTATATTCTGCTTAGAACCCATCCATGATTTCTCACTGCACTGTGAATAAGATCCAAACTCCGTCCCTGATCTACAAAAGGACCTATCTGATCTGGTGCCTACCTACTTCTGACACATCTTAAAACCCTCCACCCTGCCTGGCTTGCTAGCAGCGGCCCACTGGCCTTTCTGTTCCTCAAACACGCCAAGTTCATTCCCACCTTAGGGCCTTGCCTAAGCTAAACAGCTTACTCAGCCTGACAGGGAGACTCTTCCCTAGACCTCTGCTTAGTGGCTCTTCAGGTCTCTGCTTACGTTTCACCTCTTCCAACAGGCCTTCCCGCCCTACAGAGGCTAACATGCCCTCGGGGTTACCTTCTTCAGAGGTTTAGCACTACCTGGTATTTCCTGGTTTACTTATTTCTCCCTTCTAGAAGGTAAGTTCCGGGAGAGCAGGAACTCTGCTTTATTTATTACTCTATCATTGCCACCAAGAAAGATGCCTGCCACACAGTCAATACATTATCTGTTGAATGAATGAACTCTAGGAAAGACCCTCTGATTTTCCACTCGATGAAGGGGTAGTTTCCCTAAGTCAAGGTCCTCTAGCCAGAGAGGCCACAGTGAATTTTCACTGGCCTGCAGGTGCCCTCCAGATCATCCATCTCTGGTCACAGCATGTGGAATAGGTTGGGGCTTCCCTGGCCCTGTTGGAAGACAACAGCTTCCATGTGATTAACCTCCTTCTCCCCAAGAGATTAAAAAAAAAAAAAAAAAAAGTAACAGTAATATTATTAAAAGCTACCCAGGTACATATACCATGGTCCTGGCACTGTGCTAAATGCTTTCATCAATAATCTCATT